CTCATCTTCGAGACTAAAATCTCCGGAACGAAAGTTAGCAAACTAACGTCGAACAGTGCGTTCAATAACACTATCATTGCCAAATGCCGAGTTGATTTTTCGGGCTGTTTTGGCAACGCTTTGGTTCAATTTGAATTCATAGAGAATATTGGCTGAAAATCGCTTAACGTCATCATATAGTAACAGGCTAAAAAAAACAGAAATTGAAATTTGGAAAAAAATCAACAGAATTCATGTATAGAGTACAAAATTCTCCATCAATCAGTATATACTTCTACCACGACGCAGTAGAATAAATATGTTTTGAAATATGGAGCTACGAATAAACATGACATTAAAACGGGCAGATATAGGGACAGTCAACTATGAAAGCAAATGAGTCAGGATGGATCAGATATGAATAAAAGAAAACGAAAAAATCGAGAAGTAAAAAATGTTAAAACAAGAATTCATTATTGCCAAGAAGTGAATGGTGAACATTTTGAACAGTCATTGGGATAATTTGGAGTGGATTTCAAATGAGGTATCGTAGAACTAGCCAGTTCAGTTCAACCATTGGTTCAGATGGATCTAATGGGCAAAGTTGTATTTTCCTTTGATTCAAGTTCATTCACTTGTTGTGATTATGCAATAGGCTTTTTCTCATAAATATATTCTCACTGTGAATTGAAGTATTCAACATTTTCACAAGCCAAGTTCACATACATATGATTTCACTATTCCATAATATCAGTTTCGTGATATTCTTTTCGGTACCTACCAACCCCTTTGTCCGACTCTTCATGAAAATTAGTCATCACAGAATTCGTGGTGATCTGTGTTTTGAATAACAGTTATATTCAAAAGTTGCCATGTTTATATTAGTGGATACAAAATAACAAATGAGAGAGATACGCATCCATTGCCATGCCCCACCAACGTGATCTTCATATACTATTTTTTCGTGACGGTATATCGAAAGAAATCGAATAAAAAAAACAAAAAAATTAATTCTGTCATATGATGTTTGCCATTCGATTATTTGAATTTTTAACTCTATTGGGTTCCTCAGGGTACCCTTCTAAGCCGAATATCCCCACAATAGATAACTTATCTTGATTTTCCCGGGCGCCAATACCACGGTAATATTTTCTAAAGGTGTTTTATATGAAATACTATCGATTTCCATCAACAACATAATCGTAGTAACCGGATAATAATCTACCCACGACCACGTTATGAAATATCTCTTCGAAACAGGATACTCTGTATTGTATTAATCATTGTCTTTGTGATTCGAAATAAAAAACTTGTCACACTCCAGCAATGAATGTCCCACAAATAACCAGTGTCAGGTTCTTTTCTAATTAAATCATTAAAGTACGTTAGAATAATAAATTGTAATTTTTAATCGGCGGTGCTTGGTGAACAGTTTCGAACATAAATTAGGAATTTTCTACAGGTGAGACGGGTATTAATAAATATGAAAAATACTCGGACAAACGTACTGTTTCATAACCTCCAGCACGGGTGACAGTCACAATAAATCTCGAGTTATTTATTGGAGAGCGCCTGGTGTGAGTTCCATGATCGGTGAGAAACTCAGGGGTAGAGCTAGAGGAAATCTATGTGAAGTACACAGAAACCATCAGTACTATAGAATGTGCTTGATGTTCGAAAGTTTCATGATTTGCTTATCTGAAATATGCCATTCCGTAAGTTTCATCTGTAAAACACTGGTGTGAACATTTAGATAATAACATATAGTTAGTTATTGAGTCCGCATGGAATAAGGGAGTAAATTTATTTAGATATTCAATAACAGTTTCATGACTCAAACAGGCATTCAAAGGAATTGCTGAATGAAAATTCACACAAATTACAACCTCAAACTATAAGTCACATCAGTTTTATATTTCAAACTATCGTGAACTAGAATAACAATATAAAAGAAAAAATTGTATGATGGATTTTTTACACTGAATTTAAATTTCTGACACATGAATAAGAAAATATTCTGTGAAAATTGCCCATACTTATATATCTTAGTAACGGAATTCAAATGAATGATGAATTATACTTTCTCAAAATCGAATAATAAAAAACACACCATTGCGTTTTCACCAGGTATTTCGCTGGCTCAACAGAGTGATTTTGGGATGAAATTCAATGAAATTAAAGTAAGAATCTACATATTCTCAATGACCAACAACCAATTGCTTGATTTATATCAACTAATTTAATACTTTCATAGAACATGTTAAGAAATTTCGAACGAACGAATCCATCAATACAATTCTATGATAGATGTTCCCAGGCAGGAACATGATTTTTTGTCAGTTTTTTAGCAAATCTCCAATATCAAGGTCATTTGCGTAGGACAAGTATTCATAACACAAGAGTGCAAAAAAATATTGAGAGCTGTTTTGTTTTTTTGCGTAATTCTTGCTTTTGAGAATGCTTTATCCAAAAATGACTTTTATTTTGTCATAGGACATCAAATTTTCTGGCAAAATACCTAGGTATCTATGTCAAACAAGTTATCATTTAAAAAAATATAAAAACCTATTTAAAAAAATTATATTTATATCTGCGTAACAAAACTTATTTTTTATCAAAAATTCATTCAAGTAGCGAGCACTCAACACATTTCTTTTTCTCAGTGAGACTACTTTTGGTTACATATTGTTTGTAGGAAACATATGGAAGGTCGTTCTGAAGCGTCCAACAGTAGTCTGCTATCATTGATACGCTCCATCTTCCCTGGTATCTCTTTTCCATATCCTTAATATCTTGGTAGAATCGTTCACCTTGCTATTCACTCACATCTGCTCATCAGGCAACTAAAGTTTGAAATGCTTTCAATATTGTTTTGACGATTTTTTTATAGTTAGGGTCGTTTTTATTGCCTGAGAATTATTTATGTCCTGATTGAAGGCAATCCACCCTGTTCTTTGGAGATATGTCATGATTGTGATAAATTGTGGATCAGCCATTAGTCGTCTAATATCTGATCAACAAAAACACCTTCTCTCAACTTTGCCTCTGAGAGGCCTGGAAACTCTGATATTGAGTATTTGAAGCAATTTCTATCTCTTGGAAGTGACTCTCAAAATTGCTTCAATCCTAGCTTTATGTGAAGCGGTGGTGGAAGAATTTGATGAGCATGCATCAAAGTTTCATGCAGGACGTTTTTTCCATCAACATTTAGCTCCTTCGAAAGCCGACAAATTTTATTTCAGTGATTTGCTCGGTCTCTACTATCTCACAGACACAAAAAACAAGGGAATTTGGTGAATCGAGATTGTTATTCGTGCAACATGCCCAAGATTTTTAAGTCAACACACTCTTGCCAACCGTGCTCTCTATATTTTAATTTGTAAATAGTCAATTCCAGGTTCTTGTAGGTTTCTTTGAGGTGTACGGAATGACCGACAGAAATGGAAGCATAGACACTGCATTATTGAAGAAGAAATGCTTTAACCCTTTATCGGTTTTTGACACCATATGGTTACAATATTTTTTTAATCCCTTAATGGGCAAGACAGTAGAGAAGCTTATTAAAATGTTCAAATCGCAGAAAATGATTCAAAATAACTCACTGACTTCCTTGAAAGTGTCAGTATATTCATATTGATAGTAGTTATCCGATTGAAGGTTGTAACCATATGATTACAATGACCACTAAATTGGCATTGCCCCTCATACGTATCTAATTCATTAAGTATACATTTCTGCACATGATAGCTTAATATTTTCAATAGATTGAAATACATATTCATGAAATTTATTTTTCACACATTTTAACATAATATAATAATTTTATTTTTTTGTATGAAATATTTCAAAACAGTTCTTCATGCCAGTTAGACATAATCTTGCATCACATTTTTCGCACTTCAGGCGGCTTGTACCGTTTACACAGTGCCTGCATCTTCCCTTGCTTGTGTGTATTGACCAATGAGCATATGGATAAGTCCTTGATGAATAATCCGGTCTGTCAGAAACCGGATGATGTATAATTGGTACTTCAATGTCAAAGCTGGGTCGACCTTTTTTGGCTTCCTTTCCGCAACGAGACAACCCCATCGCAACCTCCAACCTGAACCGTTTGAGAGGTATATACTTTAGGTTCAAAGCTGCACAATCCATTCTATAAAGAAGCCATGCGTTTACAACCGTCATATCTGAAAGATATGCAAATATGGGGAAGTACCATCTTTTTGCTTTGTGAGGTGTTTTATAAAGACACATGAGAGCATCAGCTGTATCAACACCACCCATATGTTTATTATATTGTTTGACGATTGCTGGACACTTGATATCTGTTTTTGTCCTCGTATTTTTATTGTATCTCTTCACAGTGTCTATGGGCTCTATGCCATATAGGGTACTGCCTAATAAAACAGCCCTGTTATCAACCCATTTCACTACAATAATGCCTTTGTCTTTATCGATTTTGTAGTCATAGCATTCTCTTCCTTGTTTCTGTAAGACTTTGTCAGTTTCTCTCGGGCAACCAGCAATTCTATTGGCTCGTAGTGTTCCCAGGCTATTTATTTTCATTTCATCCTTGAGATATAAGAAGAGTGGCAGACTAGCGAAATAGTTAACAAAAAATAAAGTCGATTAGCTTGGATAATGCAATGATTTTGCTAAAGCAATTACAGTTGCAGCTCCAACACCCAAGTCAAACTCGTTCACAGTAATTTCATTCGTAGTTTCCTTCAAAACATCAAAGGTACTCGAACCTTGGTAGGGAATAAAATCCGCTTACACCAGCAATAACAAAAAATTCATACCCCCATTTATGATGTTTATTTTTTATATAATGACGGAGATTTCCCGCACGAGTACCCTTACAAGCGACTATCGTCTCGTCTACAGAGTACTGATTTTCAGTGAGGAATTTTCGAAAATTAGACTGTAGTTTTTCCATCAATGGGCGGATTTTGAAATACCTGTCCGTTGTGTTACCAGATAGATTTTCATTATTGTTGAAGAGAATATTATGTCTCAATTTCTTGAAACGTTTGGCTGACATCAAACTTGCTATCTGCTCAATTCGGGTGTGATTTGCTCAATAGTCTTCGAAAGACGGAAGATCTATTATTCCCATCAACAATAATATGGATAAAAAATCGATTATTTCCTTGGCATTGGTGTCTATGGATTTATCAGTTAGTTGTGTACTATATAGGTTAGTCTGGTCGATTATATCATTCATTATGTCAAAAGAGAATAGTTTGGTGAAATACTCGATTGGAGCTGGTATCTCTTCATTTGTATCCGGAACGAAATATGTGTTGTTCATTCTACATATATCTTCCTTTTTTCAGCTGAAAGTTGGTCCTTTTTTTTTTCTTCTCCCTTTTCATTTTTTTTGCTGTTGGTTCCTGTATCTCTGCGTCCTCTTCGTCGAAATTTTGTTCAATTCCAGATATATCTTCCTCATCTAATTCATTATATGCTGAAAAAAAATCGATTATCACCTCCCCACTTCCTTATATTATGATGGTTACCTGAAGTGAGATCCATAACTTGCTTCATTTTGGTTTGAATTTGGAACAATGTTAGATTTTCCTCGTCGTCGGAACTATCAGTTCCTGAAGTTGCAGTTACAGTTTGCCTAATTTTGTTTTGAATTTGCTTGAGAGTCATATTTTCCTCATCATCGGAACTTCCAGAACCATCGGAAATATCAGGCGAAGGTCGAAGTTTGAATTTCTTCCTCCCATAAAATGAACATGAGGGAATTGTTCCAAGATTTTCCATGAATATATATTTCGAAACCTAGATGAAACACTTTCTCAGTATGGGCAATGTATTTCAATATATTTCAAAGTCAACATTGCTTCTATATTCGTTCAAATTGGATCAATACTAATAAACAACATATTACCTGATTATTCTTTCACAAAATAGCAGTGACACTATAGACACAAAATTACTATGGTTTCAGTAGGAATTGAAACTTTTATATGAATGTCACACATAACCTGTAACGGTGCAGCGCTACCAACAGGCATAACCTCGTAAAAACACACATTTCGATTGGCGCGAGAACCAACCGGCTCTTTTCCCACCACTAAAACAACGTAACTATATGGTAACGTAGCCGCGACACCTCAAACGGCATGGATATGATTTGGGAGGGTTTTGAAGTTGACGTGACCATATGGTTACGTTGACTATTAAACAACATAAAAATATTCAGGGAGTCGCCCGATAAAGGGTTAAGGCTTCTTTTGAAGCATTACTTCATGACTTCAAGTTTTCAAGTTAGCCCAAAAAAACCCTTTTTTATTATATAATTTTGCAAAATAATCTGATGTTCCGGAATTTTTAGAGTATTTTTTCAGTTTTCATAAAATCTGAATACATCTACATTACATATACATATACATACATTTGAAAACATAATTTATTTTGTTTCAGACTTGTGGAGTACTTAAATAACTACTCATGTCGTCTATGAATGATTTAAAAATTTTTAAACGAACTATTTTACTTCTGTTTTTCAACAAAAATGTGTATCGTGTGTATCGCAATTTTCCATCTCTGCCATCAGAGTCTCACTAATGACTTTGTAAAAGTGTAAACAGATCCCTTCATTTTCCTCAAGCCATGGTCCTAGTAATATGACTAGTGAAAGAAAAAATGTAACTGATTCGTTTCACAATCATGTAATAGAAATAACTGTTTCTTTACGGCTTCTAAAACAAAAAATCTTCGATTGATGAGTAACAAATTTTCTTG